GGGGGGGGGGGGGGGGGGGGGGGGGTCACAATCAGCAAGCAGATATACACCACAAAATCCATCCGATTCGGACTTCGATGAACAAAAAAAAAACACACCACTTTTTTGCCCTTCGTGCCAAACAATGTTTTGATTCTGCCGACCAATGCTTACCTGCGCGAGAGGCTTATCCTCATTCTTTTTCTCAGCCTCCCTGGCCTCCTTCTTCGCAGCGCGAACCATTGACTTCGAGGAGACGTTGGAGGGCACAGGCTTGCCTACGGGAGGGAGCAAGCAGGCAACCACGAGACGCACATCAACAACAAACGGGAAAAAGAGGGGATCGTGGGAAGACGGATCAGAATACGGGATGGAGGGAGCCGGGAAACCCGAGACACTCAGGACCAGAAACAAACGGATCAAAGAGAGATAACGTCAGCAAACGGATCAGAACACGAGAGGGAGGAGGCCGGCAAACACGAGCCACGCAGCACCAGCAACAAACGGATCAGAACACGGGGGGGAGGGAGCCGACAATCACGAGACACACAGCGCTAGCAAACGGATCAAATCAAAACATGGGAGGTCATAGTCGTGCATGCCGTAGTCGTTAGACCATTGACCTCGCATCCCAACAAAGCCGGGGCGGAGCATGCCGGGTTCTCACCGGGTCAAAACAGGGTAGGGGGGTCAATATACACGAAACACACCATCTCTTTTCCTGAAAGCCGCAAAGAGAGAGCGCAACAAGGGACATACCGGAGGTAGCCAGCTCCTCAAGACAAACGTCCTGTAGCAAAGAGCAACACCAAGCACCACCACCACCTAAGCCACCACCTCCGGAGAAAGGCTGCGCGAGAGCAACGTCCAGCAGCTTCGAACAACACCGCGCAGCGAAACCTTCACGCCACAACAAAAACACCCAACCCAACGCCCGCAACAAAATCCCACCCTGCGCCCGTGCCATAGCAACGAAAACCATCACCACCACCGACCATCATCCGAAGCAAAATCCCACGTGCCCTGAGACGAAAACCACCACCAGCAGCAACAACATCCGAAAAACAACACCCCACCCTGCGCTCGTCACCAAGCAACGAATCCACCACCCACAACATGGCCCACAACAATCACCAACATCCCAAGCACAGCAACCCACCTTGCGCCTTGAGCTCCTCCGCCTCCTCCTTCGCCTCCCGCTCGTCGGCCTCCCTGGCGAGGATCCGCCTCCTCTTCTTCCGCGTGAGGCGGTGCAGCTTCTGCTCCCGCTCCTTCTTCGCCGCCCCCTGGTCGGTGTTGCCGCGGTCTGCGTCGCCTCCCCCACGGGGCACGGGGATGGTAGTTTTCCCGGCCGCCTTGAGGGCTTGCGCCACCGCCTCCGCCTTTGACTCCTCGGCAAGCTCGGTCTGGAAAGCGGAAGGTGGGGGGGAAGGGGAGGGGGGGGGGGGGGGGGGGGGGGGGGGGGGGGGGGGGGGGGGGG